CTACTGACACAGATTTCTGCAGCTGCTACACATTGTGAAAATACCGTGATAGCCTGTGAATGAAATATCTAACACTATATGAACTGAATATCACTTCCTTTTCTTCACTCTTTTAACAGCTCCTCAAATTAGCACTCATTAACTAATGAGACTTGAAACATGCCAGACATGTTGCTAACACTTTTAACTCAGAGGGATGACAACCCCTGTCTTTCTTTGTATTATCAGAGTATGTGAGTGGTGCAGAGCATGATATTGCCTAGAGCAATGATGTTTTATTTGTAAATTGGAGTATTGGTGTTCTCAATCCCTCCAAATCCACTCCAATATCTCTCCATCATGGACATAACGCAGAGCTATACTGTATGTGAGCAAGAATTCATCAAGTGCAAAACAGTGATTATGGACTAATAGCTAAAAAAAAAAAAAAAAAAGAATTTAAAAAAAAAAAAATCTGTAAATGAAGATTCATATTAGAATCAGGAGACGGACATAACTAATTCTGATACTGACTCAGACGATAAAAGTATTTATAAAAATACAATAATATATCAATTATATTATTTTAAATTAATTTAATTTATAATTCATTTTTTTAAACGCATAATTAAAATACATTTAGATTTATAATGAAAATAATTTAAAATTTTATGATTTATAATTTAATAATGTATTTTATTATCAGAAAGGCATTGACAGGAAAGTGTGAAAAACGTGTGAAAATAGTCATAGATTTGTTGGCAATTCTGCACTTTTTCGTGATTGTGTACTCTATTCACATCATATACATCCATTTTCCTCACAATGCTACAAAAACTGCACTTATTTCACTTATAGTACTAGCAGTCAAAAGTGTGGAATAATTAAGATTTTTACATTTTTTTGAAAGATGACTTATATGTTCACCACGGTTGAATTTATTTGATTAAAACATTACCATTAAAAGCAGTACCATTGTGAAATATTATTACAATCTAAAATAACTGTTTTCTAATTTAATATATTTTAAAATATAATTTATTCCTGTGATGTCAAAGCTGAATTTTCAGCAGTCATTACTCCAGTCGTCAATGTCAAATGATCCCTTTCACCCCCAGGATCCTTGATTAATAAAAACGTTCAACAGAACAGCATTTATTTGAAATAGAAATCCTTTATAACATAAATGTCCTAACTGTCACTTTTGATTCATTTAATGCATTCTTTCCGAATAAAAGGAGCTGCAGTGGAGTGATTACTGAGGGCAAATTGCTCTCGTTCTGCTCCACTCACATATTCTTTCTAATACTATGTTAAATCAAAGGTGTAAACAAAAATAGCAACCAGGTTCCACTCTTTCTTTCAAAGGCATCAGTGCACCACTCCAAATTGGTTTCTTCACGGTGAAAGATTTTGACTGACCTAAAATTCCCTTCACACTGCCAAATACCAACACCCCGCCCCCCCAATCCGGCCTCCCCTCATCAAGGGCTCGGCCATAGCTCTTGGCACACAGGCAGGCAGCAATAGAAGCTCACTCAGGCAGAAGTTTAGTACATTTAGCAGAGTTAGTAGGCGCTGGGTACAGGAGTGGGCATGCAGTTTCTCACCTATGTACTGTCCATTGAAATAGCCCTCACAGTCACAGTCTTCTGTAGGGAGGCAAGCAGGGAGAGAGGGAGTGAGCAGAGGAGACCAGGATAGAGGAAGGAGGGCTGCAGAACTACAGTTACACAAGCAGGTTCAACAGTTAGGCAGGCAGGCGGCAAGTATTTCAGTAGTCTGTGGTGGGCATGGCCAACCCAGGGGTTTGTTATTTGCCAGGAAGAATATAATGGTGTGATAGTGTATAAATGTTAGGATTCACTTGTGTGGTTAAGTGGGACTCAGAGGAAACAATGAGCGTTTATAACCTACAGTAAATGAAAAACAGGCCCTTAGATTGAAAAAGATCATGAGAAAAGGTGATAAAGATTAAAAACATACTAATGGAATATAACATCACCTGAGAGCTATAGACATTATATGAAAGAAAACTGGAAATATTTGTAGTATTTGTAGTGTTACTCAGTAATTTTGTGTTTCTGTTGCACTGGCTATAATGCCAGTTGTTAAGGACTTACACTGACACCTAACAGTGTTAATGTAGTATTATGCAAAAGCAAAATGTGTTGGTCTCAACAAGACCCCCATGAGTTGGTTAGCTACAATTGAAACAGTTCAGGGCCAATAAGATTGTATTTATTTTAATTTGTTTATTTATTTATTTTTTATTTATTTATTTTTTGACAATAAATGCATTTATAATGTTACAAAATATTTAAATGCTGTTTAATGCAGTTAAACATTCTATTTAGCAAAATAATGTATCAACGTTTTCATAACAATATTGAACTGTGCATTAATAATAAGAAGAAATGTTTCTTGAGCATGAAATCAGCTTTTTAGAATCATGTGACACTGAAGATTGAAGTAATGACTGCTGATGGTTAGCTACAATTGAAACAGTTTAGGGCCAATAAGATTGTATTTATTTTAATTTGTTTATTTATTTATTTTTTATTTATTTCTTTTTTGACAATAAATGCATTTATAATGTTACAAAATATTTAAATGCTGTTTAATGCAGTTAAACATTCTATTTAGCAAAATAATGTATCAACGTTTTCATAACAATATTGAACTGTGCATTAATAATAAGAAGAAATGTTTCTTGAGCATGAAATCAGCTTTTTAGAATCATGTGACACTGAAGATTGAAGTAATGACTGCTGAAAAATCAGCTTTGCATCACAGGAATAAAGTACATTTTAAAATATATTAAAATAGAAAACAGTTATTACACAATATTATTGTTTTTACTGTATTTTGATCAAATAAATGCAGCCTTGGTGAGCATGAGAGACTTATTTCAAAAACATTAAGAAATCTTACAGACTCCAAAATTTTGAACAGTAGTGAATATTTAGATATTTATTTTTATTAGGCTACTGATGTTACTGGAGTCTTCATCTCCAGTGTACATGATTTTAAATGATTTATTTCAGTATAAAACGCAAGTATTACTGAGTGCACCTTTAGGAAGAGAATAAAGAAAGGATTGAAGAAGAAAAGTGACGTGATGTTTGAGATCTCAGAACATTAGTTGATAGTGTACTAAGGGAAGACTTGATAAGGGAAAAGATGGAAAATGGAGTGAAGTGAGAATCTCAGAGAAAAAAAAAAGGTCAAGACCTCTAAAGTGGGACGGGCCAAAATCAACATTAAGGGAAGATACAGACGTTTGATTCTTATAAAACTAGCTACTTGTCATGCTAGGTTCATTTTATATGAGGCAATACATTTTGTGTGATTTGTTCCTCTAATGCTTTAAAAAAAAGTAATGGACCATCAAAGTATATCTTATTCCTGGAAAGTGTCATGCATCAAAGCCTCTCTCTCATTGAATGTGTGTGTGTGTGTGTTTGTGTGTGTGTACAGTAGAACAGCAGTTGTCTCTGTCCAGGAATTAATAGATTAGGTGACACACTGGCCTAATTTCATAATCACTGTGGAACCAATACAAGTGTGTTGTGTGTGTGTTTGAGGGTGAATGTGTGAACTCAGATCTAGAAGACCCACCTTTGTCACATCCCTGGTCATCTGGTGTCAGCAGTAATAAGAAAAGGAAAAGATATCATGACAAAAGAAGCCAAAACTGCAGACTTCATTTACTCTGAATTGGAAAAGATGCTACACTGGCCCTGAAGTTTATTTATTAAATAGAGAGTTTCATAAATTCCATCATTCCCACATCTTGCAGGTCAAAGTGTGTCCAGCAGTGAAGACCCACACACTGATGGAGTAATTAAGGAAGAAGCAGAAGAGGAACAGATATAATGCACATAATGAGAGTCTGTTGTGAGAGAGAGCAAGTGAGAAGGGTGCATTATGCATTTTGCTAAACTGTAGATGTGTCTGTTCTCTTTAGATTAGTGAACATGAAGCATTTGGTTGGAGCTCAGTAATCACCTGGCCACTTCACACAAGCACACACATTAGCAAATTATGCCTCCCGTTAGTCAACACTGATTAATAACTGAAGGGGTTTTCCGTAAGGAAGGAAGAATTACTGAAATACTCACAGGCAGCTTTTTTTGGAGACTTTGAGCTTTGAAGGGTGCCCATTTTTATTCTGTAGGCTAACCGCCTGAGGGGAAAAACCATATGGGGAGAACTTCAAACAGTGGAAAAGCATCAAATCGCTTGACAATAATGTTTTGTACTAGTATGACTGGATATTCCTGTCTCTGGAGCCATCAAATATACTATTAAGCGAGATCAAAAAAATTCAACGGTGAGAAAAAAATGCTCCCATTCTTAGCATGAGAGTATAGCTAAGATGCAACCCGCTGAGATGAAAGAGGGGACAAAAAGGCAGGCTGGCCAATCTATGTCTAATAAAACCCAGGGTGAATAATTTAGAATTAATTTGATTGATTTAGCCTAAAGGAAACCACAGCTTTCAGAGACTGTATGTAATTTGCAGCTAACAATGCTAATAATGGTGCAGCAGCCACACTGTTCATATAAACCTGATTCACAAAATACTTAATAGCGTTGTTATTTAGAAACAGAAAACTGTCTTTTTACACATTGAAGCTAAGTCTGTGGTCATGCTCAACCTCTGGGCCCTATGCAATCACCCTTTTCCCTACACTAATGACGCCCCTGCTGGTCAGTCTAGGTTAAATGGTACAAGCTGAGTAGTTTGTTTGTTTATTGATTGATTTGATTGATTAACTGGGCAGGGCTACTAAAATATGTCTTGATTTCCTGCTAACTAAACAGCTTTAAGGTAGTAGGGTGTGTGTTTTTTAGATGTTTTGTCTCACCTCTCCTGAAACTGTTTGGATGGGATGAGTCCTGCACGCAGGTTGCAATCTCCCACTCTCTTGGCCTGCCACCACGTCTGATCATCCTGACTGACCACCTGCAGGATGTCTCCTCGTTTAAACGGAAGCCCTGCCTCCTGACATGGCGTGGCTTTGTCCTCCAATGGAGTGTAATCAAACAGCGCTCGCATGTAGACCTGAAGAAAACACATGGTATGAACAAGATGCAAACCCAGTGAACAAGAGAAAAAACTGGAGAGATGCTGGACTGATTACTGATAAATTACTAGGTTTTATGCCGTTTTATAGTCAATTACCTTGCTCTCTTTCAGCTTGTCCTCATCTTTGATTGCTGGGATGATCTTCAGTGTGATAGATCCTTGTGATTGAGACTAAGAAACAGAAAAAAAACCAGTTCAATTACTTCTCTTATTATGACAATAAACAGGAATGATTATGGTTTGATTTTATTAGGACTATCAATTGATTGAACTTTTTTTAAACAATTAATTATATGATATGGCAATTAATTAATTGAACTGTTCACAATCAACATTTGCTGAGAAAAAAGTGAAATCATTATATTACATAAGATAATTATAATAAAATGATAGCAAATACATTAAATAGACAAAGAAAATAAATATGTTTTATAGACGCATTATATGGACCAAGATTTTTTTTTTTTATATATTCTTTTATGTTCTACAGAAGAACAACAATCGTACATGAGGACAAGAACAAAAGTTGAAAGACATGAGGGTGAGTAAATGATGATAGGATTTGCATTTTTGTGTGAATAAAATGCTTTAATGATAGGAAAACTCCTTAACAAGGAATTTAGGAAGCAGGAGTTGTTAATTCTGTGTTTATGTGTCTTTTTTGTTTTTTGCAATGAATTATACCAAATGAATGTGAAGGAGGTCTAGGAGAATAGTATTACCAGTAGTTGACTGATCTCATCTGGTCTCTTGTGCATTACAGAGCTGCCGTTGACCTCTCTCAGTTCATCACCGACATGCACCAGACCTGCGGATAGAGGAGGACTACCTGATTTACAGATTCACTACCACATGTTCAAGCTGTACCTGCTGTGTGTGATCCATAATACACTTTATAGGCGTAGTTCAATGAATTTTTAATGACCAAATAGATCATTCCCACCACACACACACACACACACACACACTATATTCCCATGGCAACAGCTGTGGTCAGGTGGTTAGTGAGTCTGTTTGATTCCCTTGATTGAGTCTCTGGGGACTCTATTTGACCACAAAGATGGGCCATGTGTCATTGCAGCAGACATGCAGTCTAGTGCTCATCACAGAGCGAGGTAAAAATAATCATATCTAGCACACTCAGTAGAGGTGCAGGATATTCAGACACTTCAATGGGTTTAGAGATGAATAGAACCTTTGAAGACTGCACTGGTGTTCCACTGATATACTCAATGGTAATTAAAAAAGATTCTCAGGTGTATATTTGGAGCATGAAGTAAACCGAGACCGCAAGATTGAAGACAAATTCTTTGAAGTGTCACTCACCACTCCTGTCTGCAGCCCCTCCTTTCATGATCCGAGCCACAATCACGGCCCCTGTGGAATCATCCCGCCGAATAGTGGCACCCTGAGAGATAGAAAGAGACCAACAGAAGGTTCAACTGCAGAGTAACACCAAGCAACAACCTAAACATTTATGATGGATCAAAATGCTGATGGACCAAATTGTCTTGTATCCTGAACTTTTATTTAAATGTAACTTACATTTATTTCCTTTAGTTGCCGTGGCAACATTTCTTATTTTGTTTAAGTATTAAAGTTACTAAAACTGAAATAAAAATATATTGTAAAAATCACAAAAATTACAACAAGAAAGCACAACGAAATGGCAAAACTACAACTGAAATTTAAATGAAAACTGAAAAAGTAACAATAAAATATATTCAAAATATTATCAAATAGTATAATAATATATAAATAATACTAAAATAACAGTTCAAGTGTCTTAATATTTTTAGGGTCACTGTATTTGTGCAACTGGCATTGTTTATTTCTCTTACCAGCGGCTCTTTGTTTTTGACTAGGCAGACAATCTTGACAGACTCCTCATCTAGTTCATCCTCAAAGTCATCGGGGAGAGGAGGCAGCACTGGGTCAAAGTTCTTCTGCGCCACCGTGTCGTGCACTGACAAAACCGCCTACCAAGCAGGAGGGATATGAGCTTCTAGATTTTGTTTTTGACTAAGTTATCATGAAGGTCTCACAACAAAAGTGTACCTGGAGATGTGGTGATGTCAGCAAATGTAGCAGCTCTTTTTCCGTCAAAGTTCTTCTGCGCCACCGTGTCGTGAACTGACAAAACCGCCTACCAATGCAGGAGGGATAGGAGCTAGATTTATCTAGAGCTAGATTTATCTAGATATCTAGATTTTGTTTTTGACTAACAGTTATCATGAAGGTCTAACAGTAAAAATATCGTTTGTACCTTGAGATGTGGTGATGTCAGCAAATGTAGCAGCTCTTTTTCCTCAGCACTCATTGGTCCGCTTTGCAACTCCTCTGCCACCTACCAATCAGTGATAGACGAAAATCAAAGCATTTAACAAGCTATCAAATAGCTGACTTTAAAAACAGGCTTATCGTTTTATCAAATAAAACAATTCAAAATATTATAAATCTTTACAGTTATATACACTACGGGTCAAACGTTTGGAATAATTACAGCTTTTTTTTTTATCTTATGCACACCAAGGCTGGATTTATTTGACCAAATAATTAAATAAATAAATAAACAGAAATATTGTGAAATATTATTACAATTTACTTTCAACAGTTTTTTTCTTTTAATATGTTTTATAATGTAATTTATTCCTGAATGTTCAGCAGCCATTATCCAGTCTTCAGGGTCACATAATCCTTCAGAAATCATTCTAAAAACAGGAATATATTATATTTCAAAATCTATTCAAATAGAAAACAACTATTTTAAATTGTATTAATATTTCAAAATAATGTCAAATTTATTTTAAAATTTTGATCCAATAATTGTAGCCTTGGTGAGCATAAGTGGCTTCTTTGAAAAACATTTAAAAAAGTAATTATTCTGAACTTGTGACTGTTAGTGTACATTATAATATTATATAAATGTTATTTATGTTTCAAAATGTGGTAAATTTTTTTCAATTGTTATTTGTTAAATAAATGATTATTAATATTTTAGATTTTTTTTTTTTTTTTTTTTATAAAATAAAAAAGAAATTATGGATATATATTTTTTGTAGCAAATTTGTCCCTGGAGTATGGCTAAATTAGAGGCACACCAAAGTTGTTCGGTCAAACATTTTAGGGTATCCTCATTCCCCCCCAGATACCATTAAACTCTGTTCTCATATATTATTGTAAAAGACGCATTAATCTTGCCTGTGGTGATGTGATATATGACAGACTGCAGCACTTACATCCTCTGCCAGAGTGGAGGCACTGTGGAGAACAGGGGTGGGGCTCTGCCTTTCGTACTGACGCAACTTCTCATGGATCTAGCAAAGACACGCACAATGCACATGTATAAAGAGCTGGAGATGATTGGTCTCTAACATATTTGCGGCCATACCTTTAAAAATAAGCTAAGGTAAATCATGCATGCTGTAAATAATTTATAATATATGATGCTGCATATGTGAGGTGAATTCAATGCAAAGCCCTGCATTAATGACACACACACACCTTCATCAGATAGCTGAGACTCCTCTCACTGAAGACATCCTTGAGGAAGACCATGTCCTCTTTGTGATTGGCATCTGGACGCAGCTGTGAGGTCAGCAGAGCAAGCGTCTCATGCAACCCTACATGCGAACAGGAGATCAGAGTGAGTGTCAATATTCTGACTATACATACATACAAGTGTGTTTTTATAGATGTGCAGCACACCTGCTCCGGCAGAGAGGACTGGCATGGTTTCTTTCATCGATCAGGAAGGGGTTGACCTAAAAGAGAGATTATCTTTATTACAGTACCCCAAAGTCTGACAGTGTTTTTACATTAGTTGGTTTTTGGGTTTACGGTAAAGGGATTTTATAAAATAAACATTTGCGATAATAGCTTAAAGTCTAATCATGCTATCATATCGCGAGATAACATTGGTTTATTATATTTTTAGCTTCCCCTTGTTTACAGCACGCAGAACGAACACAACGCGAGCCGTGATGTTCAATTCGCGAACAAATGACTCCTATGAACAGGTTCTTTTTACTAACTCAGTGAATCATTCAGTACTGTAACTTATTTGCAACTGACTCTCTGAATGAGCCGCATGTTATTTTTCATTTAGATTCGAACAGAGATTTTAACTGTTTCTGTATGTGTCTACTGAATGATTGTTCATATGACGGTGTTATTAAAGTTATAATTTCATAACAGATTTTTGATGTAATAAATTAGTAAATATATTCTAAAACTAGAAAAAATCCTAATTTATAGAACTTAAATTGTAGTTCTCATACTGGAGCAGTGATGTCAAAAGGTTGTTGAAAGGTAAACAAGCACAACCTCTGAACGACCATATTAAGCAACTTTATTCGTCAAGACAAGACAAATTTGCAACTGCTACTGAACTGAACTGAATCAACATTGAACTGGCTTGAGCTGAATAATGACACTATTCTTTTCTTTAGAGCTTTATAGCTGAATTGAATTTTACAACATTAACACTGTTATTTCCCCATTTATTAATGTGAATCTGCTTTGAAACAATCTGTATTGTATAAAGAGCAATATTGATAAATGTCAAAAACCAAATCCAACTAGACCAGGGTGTCAGGATTCAGACACACAAAAACACGTCACAGATGACCAAAAATAAACTCACATAGACCACAGGCCTATGATACCACTGGCACGCTAGTTTTAAAATTACCTGTTTTTTGTTTAATCTACAAGATCATTTATGTCTTTTTAATGTATTTTTTCATCTACCATCTATCTCTCTTGCTGGTTTCCTCAAGGTTAGTAATCAGTTTAAATGCCTGCAGTAGATCGGTTCATCAATATCCCGTAATGACTTATATTTCATATCATCTTACTGAGTGTGTTATGTGATATGATTAACGAATATTCAGCCATGATAAAGTGCTAGAATAGAGGGGAGAGAGTGACTGGAAGAGATGAGTGATGCTGTTCTGTTGGTGCCAAGAGCAGGAACACAAAGCTCAGAGTGCTGCCACAACTTCCTCTTTTGCACTATCTCTCCCTCACACACACTCTCCCAAAGCAATTCACAGATGCCATACTTTCAGAGTGCCTAGTGAAACAGAAATAGCATTTCCACAAGCACTGATCCATCTAGAAATGAGGCGAGAGACAAAAAAATAGAAACTTTGCTGCCGTTTTTCTTCCACGTTTTCTTCCATTCAACATAAGGAGGGTTGTAACATGTTTTATCCATTGAACCAGTTAGAAATGAGCTGCAGTGAAGTTTGACACTTTGTATAGACTGAGAGTTTAGCATGAAGATGGACATGTTGATGGTTTTTTTCTGTTCAGCACTTTGGTCCGCTTCGCTGTGTTTAAATGTGCTATATAAATAAAATGTACTTACATGTCAAGACTAAGCAATGAGGGCAGGTGAAGCAGATGAAATTTGCTCATTGTATATATGAACAAGCTCATGCTTATTTAGGGAGCCGAAATTAAACTAAGCTACTAATCCTAATTGTGAAAATAATTAGAACATCTGTGACTGTTCCATGTAGTGACACACAATATAACATCAATTGCATTTCCTGCTGTGCCTGTTGAAAAAAAAAAAAAATATATATATTCAAAATACACTTGAGTCCAACATAGCAAGCCATGTGTGACTGCACAGTACGTGTAAGAATATGGCAAATCACAGAGAGATTTACTCACTGTAAAATTTAAAAAAGGTGATGATAGATATCTGCAGGCACCTATAATACCATAAAACTGCATTCAATTCTCAGAAATATCAGAAGAGTGAATGTGAGAGATAAACTAATAATCCCTTCATGGCTACCACGGACAGAAATTCAAAGTTATTTTTGCTCTAAAGAATGATGTCATTCCCACTTTATGGAAAATAGCTTAGTGGAATCAATAC